TTTTTTTTTTCATTTTTTAAAATTTTTTCTTTTTTTTTCTTATATTTGTTAAAATATAAACATAAAAATATTACATTTTTTTTTTTAAGATGGGGTTTCACCATGATGGTCAAGCTGGTCTTGAACTCCTGACCTCATGTGATCCACCCACCTTGGCCTCCCAAAGTGCTAGGATTACAGGTGTGAGCCACAGCGCCTGGCCCATATATTTTTAAAACTTATTTTCCTTTCCCCAGTTTAAATGAATCATCTGGAGAAGAACCAGAAATTGTGAATTGACTCTTAAAATGTTCATTTCATTAGTAATTTAAGCAGTTTTCTTGTTCCCAACATCTAAATTCCATTCCAAAAAAGACTTAAATGCCAAGAGTCTGAACCTTGCATTGAGTTGTGTGCTGTGTCTTTACTTAGTGAAGATAGTTGTTTGTCTGTTGGAAGTGTTGGAACCTTGGTGATGCTTCTTCTCTTAGGAACCTTTCATGTATGCTTGGCTCCAAATATCTCTGCTTTTTTTTTTTTTTTTTTTTTTTTTAAATCCAAAGACTTCAGGACATTCTTGAAGTTAGATCTAAGCATTTACTTACATTTAATCCACTCTAGGGAATATGATGCTTCTTCAAGTTTGGAAGTCACCCTTCCCCTTACTTTCCAGTTTAGTGGATCATGCTTATTTTGAATATAGCAAAATAAAAATAAATAGCCCACCTGTATTTAATTTTTACCATGTACCAAGCGCTACTTTGTTCTTTACTTTCGTTATTTCACTGGATCCTAATAACAATTCTGTGAAGTAGGGACTGTTAGTCATCTAATTAGATTACTGAGAGAAGTTAAATAACTTGGTAGATCACATGCCTAGTTAAGTGGTGGCACTCAGGCTTGCAATGTATTTGTGTTATTACAGAGCCCAAGTTCCTCACCACCACCCTCTCTACAGCCTTATAAGGATATTGTTGTCTTTAATTTTTAAATTTCTCTACCATTTAATACTTATTCTGTCTTATTATTTTGCAGATAATACATAAAATAATTGATCTAGGATATGCCAAAGATGTTGATCAAGGAAGTCTGTGTACATCTTTTGTGGGAACACTGCAGTATCTGGTGAGACCTCTTATTGTTTCTTTGACTTTAAGTGTGTATAGGATTCTCTTATTTCTGAAGATCACGAATATAGTAGTTCAAAAATAAGGTAGCTTTTCCCATACAGTGTTGGTATTTAAAGCATTTTCTCTTTTGAAGGCCCCAGAGCTCTTTGAGAATAAGCCTTACACAGCCACTGTTGATTATTGGAGCTTTGGGACCATGGTATTTGAATGTATTGCTGGATATAGGCCTTTTTTGCATCATCTACAGCCATTTACCTGGTAAGAAATGGATGAGAACTTGGGCATGCTTAATGGGAATGGAAATTTTTTCATCTGATTTTTTTTCTTTAATTGTTAAATTCCTTTTGAAATGTACAATTGAATATAATTAAATGTCAAGAAATCTTAGAGTATTTGTGAAAATCAGGTTGTCAACTGAGATAGCTTTTGTTTTTATAGGCATGAGAAAATTAAGAAGAAAGATCCAAAGTGTATATTTGCATGTGAAGAGATGTCAGGAGAAGTTCGGTTTAGTAGCCATTTACCTCAACCAAATAGCCTTTGTAGGTAAGTATATTTTAGTTAAGGAAGTTCGCATCAGTTTCTCCAAAGTTGTAAAGGAATAATAGAGTCTCTATCAAGTTGGATTATCCAGTAGAACTTTCTGTGATGATGTAGAAGTCTATATCTTTGTCGGCCATGTGAGGCTATTGAATACTTAACAGGTAGCTAGTCTGGCTAGAGAGCTGAATTTTGAATAAATAGTAACTGTAAATAGCCACTTGGGACTAGTGGCTATCATATTGAACAGCATAGGTCTAGTGGAAACAAGAACTGCCATTTAACTGATTGGCATAGGTCCTAAGAAGGCTCTTAGGATAATGAAGTAAATGGGTTCTTTGCAGAATGGATTTGGACTCATTGTCGAAGTTATCAGTAACTGCATGTGGAGTTTTGAATAGTTTTTAATGGAAAAAAGTTTGTCCCCTGTCATTTCATGAATTATTTGAAAGTAAGTTATGGAATGGTACAGACAAGTGATGTGGGAAAGGAAATGGTTAACCTACAAAATTACCTTTCTAACAGTGCAAACCGAAATTGGAACATAACGATTTCATTTTCACCCCATTTTGTACGTTTTCTAGTTTAATAGTAGAACCCATGGAAAACTGGCTACAGTTGATGTTGAATTGGGACCCTCAGCAGAGAGGAGGACCTGTTGACCTTACTTTGAAGCAGCCAAGATGTTTTGTATTAATGGATCACATTTTGAATTTGAAGGTTAGTCTTAATGGGTCTACTGCATAAGACCAGCTTTGAAATTAACAAGTTTATTTGGAAAATTAGCATAAATATATTTTAATAATCTTTTCCTGATGCTTTTTTTTTTTTTGAGACGAAGTCTCACTCTGTCACCCAGGCTGGAGTGCAGTGGCACGATCTTGGCTCACTGCAGCCTCTGCCTCCCAGGTTCAGGCAATTCTCCTGCCTCAGCCTCCTGAGTAGCTGGGATTACAGGTGTATGCCACCACACCCAGCTAATTTTTGTATTTTTAGTAGAGACAAGGTTTCACCATGTTGGTCAGGCTGGTCTCGAACTCCTGACCTCTTGATCCACCCGCCTCGGCCTCCTAAAGTGCTGGGATTACAGGCTTGAGCCACTGTGCCCGGCTTTTTTTTTTTTTTTTTTTCTTTTGAGACAGGGTCTCACTTTGTCACCTAGGCTGGAGTGCAGTGACACAATCTCAGCTAACTGCAGCCTCTGCCTCCCGGGTTCAAGTGATTCTCCTGCCTCAGCCACCTGAGGAGGTGGGATGCAGGCGCATGCCACCACACTTGGCTAATTTTTTGTATTTTTAGTAGAGATGAGATTTCACTGCATTGGCCAGGCTGGTCTCAAACTCTTGGCCTCAGGTGATCCTCCTGCTTTGGTCTCCCACAATGCTGGGATTACAGGCATGAGCCACTGCATCCAGCCCTGATGCTTATTTGAAAAAGAAAATTAAATTCTTAGAGCTGATTTTTTAAAAATTTCTTTAGCAAGCTTTCTCAGTTTGCTTCTCTGTGGTCTTTGTTGATGAATCCTTTGAAACAACTTTTATTTACCCTTTCCCATGTTGCTGCCATTATCCTTATTCATTTATGTCTAATCACTGGGTTTGATTTGGTAAAGAAGGCTCCTATCTGCCTTTCATGGCTCTGCACTTACTCCCTAACCTGTAGTTCATTCAATATGTACTACCTATCTTCTAAAAATGCTTTATTATTATTCTGCTCAAGAAACTAATGTAGTTCTGCCCAAAAAACTAACATAGTTCTTCTTCTTTTTTTTTTTTGACAAATCAAGTGTAATCTGATCTTCTTGGCTTTTTTGCGGGGGCTTTCCCTAACCAAGTTTTGCCTTGTACCTGCTTCTCTTAACCTGTACCTCATGCAAGACCAGCTTGTTACGGCTCCTTATGCCTCAAACCTATTGTCTACTTTTGTGCTCTGACAGATGCTATCCTTCTGCCTAGTATGATCTCCATTTCTGTGTATCTCCTCACCTACACTGGCATATCTTCAAGAGCTTTTCTTTAAATGGTCTCTGCCACACAATTTGTTGTTTAAAGGCCGTATTCTCTGATTTTCATCTTCCATTCATGCATCTTCATATAGATTGTTGTCTTCTTTAATGTTGGGATTGTTTTACTACTTTTATTAGCAATCACCCACCCTACCCATCCTAACCATGGCATTCTGTACAGAGCAGGGCCTGTATCAGGTTCTTGGTAATTTATTGGTATGAATGAGAGCTATAGATAGTTTTATTATGCAGTACACCCAGAAACAACTCTCATCTATAGTCTTTCCATTTCTGTTGATTGTTTTTAGTATACATGGTTTCTAAAATTGAAATGAGAAATTATATATGTAATATTGGAGTGCATGGCAAGATAGCTCACTTCAATCTGGAACTCCTGAGCTCAAGTGATCCCCCTGCGTCAGCCTCCAGAGTAAATGGGACTATAGGTGTGCGCCGCCTCTCCTGACTAATTTTTAAATTTTTGGTAGAAATGGGGTCTTGCTATGTTGTCCAGGCTGGTTTTGAACTCCTGGCCTCAAGTGATCCTCCTACCTCAGCTTCCCAAAGTGCTGGGTTCACATATGTGAGCCACCGTGCCCGGCTTTGGCATATTTTATTAAATAGAAACTTGAAGCCATGTGGATGTCCTTCTTGGCTAACACTGAAAATATACCTGGCTTCTTGATTTGGTTTTCTTCTACTGTGCCAAAGAATAAATCATCCCTCAGTGTGTTAGCAAAGCAGGACTTTAGTTCTGTGTTGCCTCTGAAACATTTTGGTTGTGCATGAACCACATCTCACATTTTTTTCATACTTGTCATAGGAATCGTAGCATCATTTCTGCTTTGAAGGGCACCTGTGAGCCTCTTGTTATAGGGCATGGGGAAAGAGCCCACATTATGGAGTTTGTAGTTTATGGACTTAAATTCAGTTTGCAGCACCACCATTTACCTGTCTGTGAACCTGAGCAAATATTGTCTCTATCTCAAGGACAGTAATATCTTTCTCAACGCATCAATATTATTATGAGGTTGTATAGAATAAGGTGTGTGTAAGGTACTATTTATAGTAGTTCAAGAAGCTTCAGGGATGCTTGTTAGACATGGTAATAGGACTGACTTTTGAAGAATGGAGTTTTTAGGGAAAAGGTGGGGACAGGAGAGATTTATAGGCAGCAGAGCATCATGAGCAAAAGTATAAAAGCATGAACTGCAAAACAGCTTGGTATTATTGTAAGACATTTTCCTAAAATGTTTATATGTATAGTACAAGAAAGGAATGATATCTGTTTTTCACTTTAAAAAGGAAGCAACAAAACAGTTACTGAAATATTTCCCTTTTAAAAAAACACTTAGTGAGTCTGATTGTATGCATATTTTCCAACTGTTTATTATGAAAATCTTTAGATATGTAGAAGAGTTGAAAAAAGTGTACTGAACCTACCACTGAAAATGATGGTGAAATAGCAGCATTTAATTATTTTTTTCTTTACCTCCTCTTTCATGCCCCTAAATGTAACTATATTCTGAGTCTCTTCTTGGTTCTCTCTTTTTCCATTACATTTCCTTTCTTTTATTAGGCAACTGTAAACTATATATGGTGAACTCCTGAAGTTACTTATTTCATCAGCGGTGACTTTTCTGCCAGGACTTATAACTGCTATATAACTGTACTACCTGGCTGTTCCATTGGCACTTAACAATTTACTAAAAACTGGACATATTTGTTCTATCCATTAAATCTACTTCTTTTTTGTTTGTTTTGTTTTGTTTTCTGGGATGGAGCTGCACTCTGTCTCATAATCTTGGCTCACTGCAACCTCTGCCTCCTGGGTTCATGCGATCCTGCCTTAGCCTCTCGAGTAGCTGGGATTACAGGCACCCACCACCACATCCAGCTGATTTTTGTGTTTTTAGTAGAGATAGAGTTTCGCCATGTTGGCCAGGTTGGTCTTGAAACCCCTGACCTCAGGTGATCTACCTGCCTCAGCCTTCCGAAGTGCTGGAATTACAGGCATGAGTCTCCACACCCGGCCCCATTAAATCTACCTCTGTAGCTTTCCAACACCTCTATTTGCACTGTCACCTTTGTAGTTACCCATGTGGGAAACGTTGGCTGTCTTGACTCTTCCTTTCTCTTCAATCAATATATCCAATTATTTAATCAAATTTATCTTTTGAATATCTTAACAATTTTGAGCTTGCCACGTTCTCAATTTAGAAAGGCTTCCGTAGTTCTCTTTCACTTATCGAATAAAGTCCAGACCCTTACATTGGTACTCAAAACCTATCTTGATTTCATATCAACCTACACTTCCGGACTTATCTCTTACTAATGCCCTGAGAGGGGCATCATTTTAGGTACATTTGAACTGGATTAATTGTATTCTCTGATTAATCCCATCCCTTTCTACCTGCCTACCTGTTTTCTGCCTAAAGGAACTTTTTTTTTCAGTCTTTCCCCATTCTAGTCTTTCTTCCATTTCAAAGTTTAGCTCAAGTAGTGCCTCCTTTATGAAGTGCCCATTTCCTCCTGCCGAGTGTATGATATTTTCAATTGAGTATACCACCTATCACATTTTGCCTGGTATTTTAGTTCTCTTAGTATATCTTAATATCTTCTGTTTGACAATAACTGTATGGAGGGCAAGGATCATAAGATACTCAGTTTGTATACCCACTGCCACCATCACAACATACTTAGTATGTGCCTACCAATAGTAGGTACTCATTAAATATTTGAATGAACAAAAAGATAAATTTAGGTTGTATTTCCTCTTTCTTTCTTTTGTTTTCCTCTGGCCTGGAACTTTGGTAGTGGGATGCCGTGATGCCATATGCTAACATCCTGTGTGAAAGTAGATGTCCAGTATAGGATTTTCATTCTAAGTCTCTGCTATTGCTACTAGTGGCAGCTGTCATAGCATGAAATCTGCCTACAATGGGAAAGGCATGGAAAGTCTCAGGTAGTATAATTGTATTGTAAATCCATGTCAGTTTTGAAGATTTCCCTACTCCCCTTTTAAACATAAAAGATTTCTATTAAGGCCAGGTGTGGTGGCTCACACCTGTAATCCAGGTACTTTGGGAGGCCGAGGCGGGCGGATCATGAAGTCAGGAGTTCGAGACCAGCCTGACCAACATGGTGAAACCCCATCTCTACTAAAAATACAAATATTAGCCGGGCGTGGTGGCACATGCCTGCAATCCCAGCTACTCAGGAGGCTGAGGTAGGAGAATTGCTTGAACCCAGGAGATGGAGGTTGCAATGAACCAAGATCTTGCCACTGCACTCCAGCCTGGGCAACAGAGTGAGACTGTCTAAAAAAAAATTTAAAAAAGAGATTTATATTAAAGGAAAGTCTCTTAATAAGAGAAATACTGGCAATCGTGTTATGACATTTGGAATTCACATGAAAAGGATCAGCTTCAGGTTATAAAAACAGTTTAATATTTTGTTTTGAAAATTTTGTTAATACAGGTGCAGTGGCTCATGCCTGTAATCCTAACACTTTGGGAGGCAGAGGCAGATAGATCACTTGAGGTCAGGAGTTTGAGACCAGCCTGGTCAACATGGCAAAACCCTGTCTCTACTAAAAATAAAAAATTAGCCAGGGATGGTGGTGTATGCCTGTAGTCCCAGCTACTCAGAAGGCCGAAGCAGGAGAGTTGCTTGAACCTGGGAGGTGGGGGCTCCAGTGAGTCAAGATCACACCACTGTACTCCAGCCCAGGTGACAGAGTGAGACTCTGTCCCAAAAACAAAATTTGTTAATATGCTTTTAAGTTTCCTTTTTTTTTTTTTTTTTTGTTTTTTTGTTTTTTTGAGATAGAGTCTTGTTCTGTCGTCCAGGGTGGAGTACTGTGGCACGATCTTGGCTTACTACAAGCTTCACCTTCCAGGCTCAAGTGATTCTCTCATACCTAAGCCTCCCATGTAGTTGGGATTACAGGCATGGTGTGTGCCACCATGCCTGGCTAATGTTTTTGTATTTTTTGTAGAGATGGGGTTTTGCCATGTTGGCCAGGATGGTCTCAAACTCCTGTCCTCAAGCAATCCATCTGTCTTGGCTCCTCACAGTGCTGGGATTACAGGCGTGAGCCACCATGCTCAGCCTAATTTTTTAAATTAAAAAATAATCGTACATATTCATGGGGTTAATAGTGGTGTTTCAGTACATATACTGCATAGTGATCAGATCAGGTAATTGGCATATCCATCATTGCAAATATCATTTCTTTGTGTTTGGAATGTTCGGTATCCTTTTTTTTTTCTTTTTTTGAGACGGAGTCTTGCTCTGTCGCCAGGCTGGAGTGCAGTGGCACAATCTCGGCTCATTGCAACCTCTGCCTCCGGGGTTCAAGTGATTCTCCTGCCTCAGCCTCCTGAGTAGCTGGGACTACAGGCATCCGCCAACATGCCTGGCTAATTTTTGTGTTTTTAGTAGAAATGGGGTTTCACCATGTTGGCCAGGATGGTCTTGATCTCTTGACCTCATGATCTACCCACCTTGGCCTCCCAAAGTGCTGTGATCACAGGCGTGAGCCACTGCACACAGCCCCCTCCTTCTTTTGTGAGAGGGAGTCTCACTCTGATGCCTGGAGTGCAGTGGTGTGATCTTGGCTCACTGCAGCCTTAGTCTCCCGGGTTCAGGCAGTTCTCCTGCTTCAGCCTTCCAAGTAGCAGGAATTAAAGGTGTTTTTGTAGCCCAGATAATTTTTGTATTTTCAGTAGAGAGCAGGTTTCACCATGGTAGCCAGACTGGTCTCGAAATCCTGACTTTAAGTGATCAGCCCGCCTTGTAATCCCAAAGTTCTGGGATTATAGGTGTGAGCCACCATGCCCTGCCTCAGTTTAGTATCTGTAGCATCACTTATTTGGGCATCTGTGTTAGGATTTCTAAGTGGAAATAATAGTGGGCCTTCAAACTAAAAAGTGTACAGTAAAGGAAACAAATCAACAAAATGAAAAAGCAACCCATGGATTGGGAAAAGATATTTGTACACTATATATCCAATAAGAAATTAATATCTTAAATTTATAAGGAACTCGTGCAACTCAATACGAAAAATGTAAATAACCCAATTAAAAATGTGCAAAGGACCTAAAATAGACACTTCTCAAAAGAAGAAATTCAGGTGGGCAACAAACATATGAAAAGGTGCTCAACAACTCTTAGCATCAGGGAAATGCAAATAAAAACCACATTAATATATCACCCCCAACCTGTTAGGATGGCTGTTATCACAAAGAAAAAAGATAAGTGTTAGTGAGGATGTGGGAGAAAAGGAATCCTTTGTACACTCTTGGTGGGAATGTAAATTATTATAGCTATTGTGGTAAACAGTATAAAGGTCCCTCAAAATTAAAAACAGAACTACTGGCTGAGTGCGGCGGCTCACGCCTGTAATCGCAGCACTTTGGGAAGCTGAGGCAGGCAGGTCACATGACGCCAGGAGTTCAAGACCAGCCTGGGCAACATGTGGAAACCCTGTCTCAACTAAAATTACAAAAATTAGCTGGGCATGGTGGTACACATCTGCAACCCCAGCTACTTGGTAGGCTGATGCAGGAGAATTGCTTGAACCCAGGAGTTGGAGGTTGCAGCTGAGATCGCACCACTGCGCACCAGCCTGGGTGACAGAGCAAGACTCTGTCTCAAAAAAAAAAAAAGTAGAACTGTAAGATTCAGCAATCTCACTTCTGGGTGTATATCCAAAGGATTTTAAAGGATTGTGAAGAGATACTTGCACTCCCATGTTCATTGCAGCATTATTCACAATAGTCAAGATATGGAAACAGCCTAAATGTCCTTTGACATATGAATGGAAAGGGAAAAGGTGGTATATATACACAGTGGAATAGTATTTAACCTTCAGAAAAAGAAGGAAATTCTGCGATTAGGGCAATGTGGATGAACCTGGAGGACATGCTAAGTAAAATAAGTAAGACACAGAAAAAGAGATACTGCATGATCTCACTTACATGTGGAATCTATAATAGTTAAACTTATAGAAGCAGACAGTAGGATCATAGTTGCCAGGGGCTGCAGGGAGGTGGGGGTATATCTAGAGATGATGATCAAAAGGTCCAAAAATTATGGCAGCAAAAGAAAAGGCACAAAAATGACAACTATGAAGAGGTGAGAGATATATTAATTAGCTGAAATGTGATAATTTCATAATGTATATCAAAATAGCCAGTTGTATACCTCAAATATATAAAATTTTTATATGTCAAAATGAAACAGTCACAAAATAAAATATTTCAAAGATAAAATAGTAAATCAGGAGAGGGGGCTATAACAGATGAAAGAAGATGGGCTGTATGTAAATGATGGTTGAAATTAGACGAGGCATTCACAGGGTTCAGAGGGGGCTTACACTATTGTCTATAGTTTTGCGTGTTTGAAAACATCAATTCAAATTTGTGTTGTAAAGGGAAAAAAGAGATAATAGTGACCTTGGATTAATGCTTTCCCTTTGTAGTAAGGATTTTCAGCAGAGAGGATTTTAATCATTTGCGTATACTAGTTAGTGTAAGGCTTGGAGAAATGTAGACATTAATTTTGTATGGCTTTTCTTTTCTTTTTTTTTTTTTTTTTTTTTTGAGACAGTCTTGCTCTGTAGCCCAGGCTGGAGTGGGCAGTGGCACAATCTTGGCTCATTGCAACCTCCGCTTCCAGGGTTTAAGCAGTTCTTTGCCTCAGCCTCCCAAGTAGTTGGGATTACAGGTAGCCGCCACCACACCCAGCTAATATTCCTGTTTTTAGCAGAGACAGGGTTTAACCATCTTGGCCAGGCTGATCTTGACCTCTGACCTCGTGATCCACCCACCTCAGCCTCCCAAAGTGTTGGGATTAAATGCGTGGGCCACCAGGCCCAGCCAGGATATTTTTTTTTTTCCCCGAGATGGAGTTTCCCAGGCTGGCGTGTGATGGCGCGAACTCGGCTCACTGCAACCCCCGCCTCCCTGGTTCAAGCAATTCTCCTGCCTCAGCCTCCTGAGTATCTAGGCTTACAGGCACACGCCACCACGCCCACCTAATTTTGTAATTTTAGTAGATACATGTTTGTCAGGCTGGTCTTGTACTCCCAACCTCAGGTGATCCACCCGCCTCGGCCTCCCAAAGTGCTGGGATTACAGGTGTGAGCCACTGAGCCTGGCCTTGTATGACTTTTCTAAAGACACTGGAAGGAAGAGAATTTAAAGTCATGTTATTTTCAAAAGACTGACGTCCAACTCTGTGGCTGTCTGTGCTTACCTGGGCAGAGCCCCACCTGACTCAGCCTCACAGTCACTTGGCCTGTATGAGGTTACTTTTAACTGGGTGTTAGGTGAGAGTGAAAAAACTGTTCTTACCTGACTTTGGGCCCTTAGGCAGGTTGCTGCTCTGGGATTAAGTTGCCTTATAAAAAGGCAACTGACCACGCATAACCATGCTTTTTCGTGTTTAAAGAGATACCTAGTTCTTTCATCAGATTATTTTTTTAAGGTAGCATGAAGTAGTCAGACACAAAAAGAGTTCAGATCCAAGCTCTATCAGCTGTGTAATCCCTAACAAGTTATTTAACTTAGAACTCTGGTTTCTTTCTCTGCTAAAATGGAGATTAAAAGATCTAATTAATGGGGATGTTATGTGAAAGTGGTTTACCCGTGATTATTTTCTGTTAGGCACTTTATGAATTGGAAAGTTTTCTTTTAGGTCTATGATAATGTTTTTTCAAAATAAGTAAGTGTTGTTCTTTCAAATTGTGATTTTTATTTCCTAATTTTGTGCATCCCTATAACTTTGAAATTTTATTGTTGGAACATTTATTGTAGAAAAGGAAATTGTTCAGTTTTCAGAATGTCATTTTATAATTTACAGAAGGAGATCTCACTTTGGAGAATGAGTGAGCCTTGTTTAGTGTAGAAATAATGCCGTTTGCATATAGTCCCCTTTTAGTATCTGGCAGTGAATCTTTTATGTAGCAAATGATCAATAAATTTATCTTTTTTCTTATTTATACAGATAGTACACATCCTAAATATGACTTCTGCAAAGATAATTTCTTTTCTGTTACCACCTGATGAAAGTCTTCATTCACTACAGTCTCGTATTGAGCGTGAAACTGGAATAAATACTGGTTCTCAAGAGCTTCTTTCAGAGACAGGAATTTCTCTGGATCCTCGGAAACCAGCCTCTCAATGTGTTCTAGATGGAGTTGTAAGAGAATTAATTATAATCTACCTGGAGTGTAAGAAATCTAGAGGGATTGCATGCCCTGCAATTTTTGGGCATACTCGGAATTCCTTAAGGGGGCACATTTTGTTTTGGCTTTGTCCTACTCCCGACTCTTAGCATTGCTTTGCAAGGTGAACAGGATAGAAATGAAACATTTGTTGTTTTGAATTTTGCAATATTTTTTCTTTGGTGCCAGTTTTCTGCTCTTGTTCCCAGACCAAACTGAGGGTCAGGCTGTTTGTTTTTGCGGCCCAATAATGAGATGTAGATGAACTGGGAGAGATGGGAGTTTTTATTTCTGTAACCAGTTACTGGGAGAAGGCCTGGAAATTATTGCCAGATCAACTCAAAATTACAAAGTTTTTCCAGAGCCTATATACATTCTAAGCTATATGTCTACATGTAAGTGTGCATTTATCAGAAGACATAAGTGATTAACTTCTTTTAATCTGTAACTAAGGTCTGAATCTTGAAGATGTTCTGGAGCCTCCGTAAATTTACTTACTCTAAATGGGTCCAAGTGCTGGGCTGATTACCCTTATCTTGTCCCCTGCTAAATCACAGAGGTTTGAGGACTTCCTTCAGACCCCCAGTAAACTTGTTTGTGGAGCCCTGGGGAGTTTCTTCAGCCCCCCAGTGAAACTTGTTTAATCTTAAACAGGTCCCATTAAAAATTCCTTTGTTATTTTGCTTTTAGGCCCAGGAAAGCCTGGGCAGAACTCTTGGTGGCTTTGGTTACATTCAAGCCTTTGTGTAAGGGCACTGGCTCTTTCAGCATTTTTTTTTTGGAGATGGAATCTCGCTCTGTTGCTCAGGCTGGAGTGTGATGGCACAATCTCAGCTCACTGCAATCTCTGCTTCCCGGGTTCAAGCGATTCTCCCTGCCTCAGCCTCCCAAGTAGCTGGGATTACAGGTACCTGCCACAACACTCAACTAATTTTTTGTATTTTCAGTAGAGATAGGAGTTTCACCATGTTGACCAGGCTCATCTCAAACTTCTGACTTCAGGCGATCTGCCCGCCTCTGCCTCCTGAAGTGCTGAGATTACAAACGTGAGCCACTGCGCCCACTGCCCTTTCAGCTTTTAATATTTAACTTCACTACTCAGTCAGAGCTGAAACAGTTGTTATGGAAGCCTGCGTTAGTGAGACCTGGCCTGCCACACTCCCACTTAATATGCCTTCTTGGCTTGGTGTGGTGGCACATGCCTATAATCCCAGCACTTTGGGAAGCCAAGGTGGGTGGATTGCTTGAGTTCAAGAGTTTGAGACCTGCCTGAGCAACATGTGAAGCCCTGTTTCTACAAAAACTACAAAAATTAGCTGTGCTTGGTGGCACACCCATGTAGTCCTAGCTACTTGGGAGGCTGAGGTGGGAGAATCACTTGAGCCCAGGGAGGCTGAGGCTGCAAGGAGCCATGATCACACCACTACACTCCAACCTGGGTGACAGAGCAAGACCCTGTCTCAAAAAAAAAAAAAAAAGTTTTTATTTCTTTTTGTATTTGAAGTCCAGTATTCTGAAACTACTGTGAGACCAGCAGTCTCATAGGTCCTGCAGAGGATAAATGACTGGTAAAATATGACTGTGGTCATGACTTTTTTCCTTATTTTTCTTTTTATGGTGGTATTGAGGCATATTTTAAATATCATGTTAGTTCCCATTTAAGGTATACAAGATAGTGATTTTTATTTCTTTTTTATTAACTTGTCACTGACTTGCTCAATTGCAGTGATTTTTTTAAAGTACATTTTACCAAATTGTGCAGCTATCACCATAAATCAGCTTAAAAACATTTCCATTAACAGTCCATTAACTGTTAATCTCCATTCTGCCTACTCCAGGCAACCAGGATCTATTTTCTATCTCTACAAGTTTGCCTTTTCTGAACATTTCATATAAATGGAATTATATATAGTCTCGTGTCTGACTTGTTTTACTTGAAATTATATTTTTGAAGTTCATGCATGTTGTAGCATGTACCAGTACTTCATTCCTTTTGATTACTGAATAGTATTTTCACCGTATGTATATATACCTTTTTGTATTTGTTCTTTTGGTTTGGGTGATTGTTTTTCACTTTAGGCCATACAAAAGTTTGGGTCTTTTTCCTCATCAAAAGTTTAGACTCTGTTTTCTGTAAGAGGTATACTAATACACATTAATTTGGTCATTTGCATTTCGAGGTAGGAAATCTGGTGTATAAGTATTTAGAGAACCTAGGATTTTCAGAGATCCTTGAGGAGGATTTTAATTGTTTGTTTCTTTTTCAGAGAGGCTGTGATAGCTATATGGTTTATTTGTTTGATAAAAGTAAAACTGTATATGAAGGGCCATTTGCTTCCAGAAGTTTATCTGAATGTGTAAATTATATTGGTAAGTCCAGTCCATTTAGCAGCTGAGCTTTAAACCTGAATTAATATAACTTTGACTCACAGCATGCTTAGTAGAAATCGTCATTTTGGAGTTGTGTTCTGTATCTCATACTTGAAGTTTCTATATGGAGTTGTATAAGAATTCTGAAAAATTGATTTATATAGTTAGGGAGGTGAAAATGTAGATACTAAATCTCCATCAAATTATTCATTTAGGAGAAGATTTACTTTCCTGAGGATAGGGCTCTCACAGGAGAATGAAACTTCACTATTAGTTAAACCTACTTTTTTTTTTTTTGAGATGGAGTCTCACTCTGTTGCCCACACTGAAGTGCAGTGGCATAGTCTCAGCTCACTGCACTCTGCCACCTAGATTCAAGCGATTCTCTTGCCTCAGCCTCCTGAGTAGCTGAGGTTGCAAGCACCTGCCACCGTGCCTGGCTAAATTTTGTAGTATTAGTAGACACAGGGTTTCACCATATTGGCCAGGCTTGTCTCGAACTCCTGACCTTGTGATCCGCACCCCCTCAGCCTCCCAAAGCACTGGAATTACAGGTGTGAGCCACTGTGCCCATCCCAGATCTACTTTTTAACTGTCTCTTCATTGTCTAAGCAGGTTCAGGTATTTATTTCATTTTTCCTATGAATACTGCTTGATGTTCAAATGTTTTAATTTATCCTGTGAAAATTATTCTTTTCTTTTGAACAAGTTATAAGTGTCTCATCACTGTATGTCTAGCTAAATAAAATAAAGCACAAAATTGTAAAATCAAGAACAAAATTGAACAGAGGGGCTAAAATATAGGTAATCTTACTTTTTTTTTTGAGACGGAGTCTCACACTGTTGCCTAAGCTGGAGTGCAGTGGTACAGTCTTGGTTCACTGCAACCTCCGCCTCCTGGCTTCAAGAATAACTGGGATTACAGGCGCTCACCACCATGCCTGGCTAATTTTTTGTATTTTTAGTAGAGACAGGGCTTCACTATGTTGGCCAGGCTGGTTTCAAACTCCTGACCTTGTGATCTGCCTTCCTCGGCCTCCCAAAGTGCTGGGATTGCAGGGGTGAGACACCATGCCCAGCCTACATAATCTTACTTTCTTTAAAAACCTTTTTATTCGTTTTCTTTTAAACTTTTTTTTAAAAATTGAGGCAGTTTACATAGAGTGAAATAAACAGATCATACAGTTTGATAACTTTTGACAAATATATATACTTTTGTAGTCCATACCATAGTCATGATATAGAACATTTTCTTCACCTCAGAAAGTTCCCTTATGTTTCTTTTCAGTCAACTCTCCTTGCCCCAGACTTTATTTTACTAATGGACTTTTTTTTTTTTTAAAGAATGGTTTTAGATTTGCCAGAAAATTGGGCAGATACTACAGAGTTCTCATATAACTCCCCTTACTCATGCATGTAGTTTCTCCTGTTGTGAACGTTTTACCTGGAAGGTGGAAGTTGCAGTGAGCCAGTATCACACCACTGCACTTCAGCCTGGACAACAGAGTGAGACCTTTTCTCAAAAAAAAAAAAAAAAAAATTAAAAAACATTAAAAAGTAAAAAAAAAACAATTTTACATTAGTATGATGCATTTGTTACATTTAATAAACCCATATATTACTAATTGAAGCCCATAGTTCATTCACATTTCCTTCATATTTACCTAATATCCTTTTCCTGTTCTGAGATCTCATATAGGATACCACGTTACATTTAGTTGTCATGTCTCTTGAGGCTCCTCTTTGCCGTGACATTTTCTCAGACTTCAAGTAGTTCTTGTTTTTGATGACCTTGACAATTCTGAGGAATACTATTTTAGTAAGATGTCCCTCTGCTGAATTTTTTTTTTTTTTTTTTTTTTTTTTTTTTTACAGAGTTTTGTCTTGTTGGCCAGGTTGGAGTGCAGTGGTGCAATCTTGGCTCACTACAACCTCCGCCTCCTGGGTTCAAGTGATTCTCCTGCCTCAGTCTCCCAAGTAGCTGGGATTACAGGCCCGTGCCACCACACCCAGATACTTTTTGTATTTTCAGTAGAGACGGGGTTTCACCATGTTGGCAAGGCTGGTCTCAAACTTCTGACCTCAGGTGAACCGCCTGGCTTGGCTTCTCAAAGTGCTGGGATTACAGGCATGAGCCACCATGCCGGGCCTGTCCTTTTTTTTTTTTTTTTTTTTTTTTTTTTTTCATGATTAGACTGAGACAATGGGTTTTTGAGAGAAGGGTCACAGAAGATAGAAGTGAACCGAGATTGTACCACTACATTCCTGCTGGGGTGACAGAGTGAAGCCCTGTCTCAAAAAAAAAGGGAGGAGTTATGTTTCCTTCCTTTAGGATGGAGTATCTTTGTAATTTATTTGGAACTCTTCTGCACAGGACATTTGCCCTTTAACATTTATAAATTTCAGTCATTTATATTAGTATAAACTAATGGATTTTTTTTTTGTGCTTTATGTTATAATACAATACTAGCTTACTCTGTTGCTCAAATTGTTCTAGCTTTGGCCATTTGGAGCTCTTTTAGTTGGCTCCTGTACTTCTCTTACATGCCCCCTTCAATGAGTTGTTTTTGTTTTGTTTTGTTACAGGTGCATGCCACCACACCCAGATACTTTTGTATTTTTAGTAGAGGCGGGGTTTGCTTTTTTTTTTTTTTTTTTTTTTGTTTATTGTAGGAAGCCACAGGTGGAGAAAGGTTGATGGTGGCTATTAATAATTATTAAGGAAGGCAAATACTTTTCCATTTGTATAGCTTTATTTTTTTAAAGTCTGCTTCAGATGATGTGCTTTCTCAGTAGGAACACTAGTGTAGCAAGTTTTGTCTAAGCTTTCTCTGAAGTTTTTATTAGAAAAGAGCAACAGAGAATATACTTGCTGCCTTACAGTATGAATCTGTTTCAATATTGGAGAATTTCATGTTAAAGTAGAATTTCATTGAACTTATTAACATATAGTTTTAGAAAAGTAGCATTCCTTTACCAAAAAATGGATAAGATAAAATCATAAATAGATAATTTTTTAAAGTCTGGCATTGAAGAAAGCATATTTTATTAAACTGCCATTTACCCTGTGTCTTTTATTTTCTTTTTCCTTTTCTTTTTTTATTTTGATGAGACAAAGTCCCTCTCTCTTGCCTAGGCTGGAGTGCAGTGGTGCGATCTCAGCTCACTGTTAACATCCACTTTCCGGGTTCAAGCGATTCTCTTGCCTCAGCCTCCTGAGTAGCTGGGACTGTAGGTACACATCACCCACACCCAGCTTATTTTTATATTTTTAGTAAAGATGAGTTTTCACTTTATTGGCCAGGCTGGTCTTGAACTCCTGACCTCAAGAGATCTGCCTGCCTTGGCCTCCCAAAGTGCTGGGATTACATGTGTGAGCCATCACACTTGGTTCTTGTGTGTATTCTTAAAGCTGGATTGGTGGTCCAGGATGTGAAATTTATTATTCAGAGGTAGGAAAGACCCAGAAGAGATGGGACTTGATTTAGATCTTGAAAGAAATAATTTGGATTAGCAGAGAGAAAAAGAGTATTCCAGGTTGCAGAAAAGCAAGCAAGTAAGACAGATATAGGAATAATCTCAAGCTCTGTGAGGGTAGTGATTATGTCATTCATTATTTTTCCCCTTGTATCTGGAGCAAGGCTTAATGTATTGCAGGTGCTCTGTAAATGTATATTGAACCGAATTAAATGGAAACAAGTGATTCTTTTAGCATCAGTTTCTAGCATCTATGGGAATGCTGTTTGTGTGGACAGTAAATCTCAGAGAATGATAAATAAAAAGTCATGAACTCCCTTGCTCTTTTTTTCATCTTGTTGTATATAGTACGGGACAGCAAAATACAGCTTCCAATTATACAGCTGCGTAAAGTATGGGCTGAAGCTGTGCACTATGTGTCTGGACTAAAAGAAGACTACAGCAGGCTCTTTCAGGGACAAAGAGCAGCAATGTAAGTGGATTCTGTTGTTTATGAGCACAATGCAATGCACATTAGATACTCAAGAATTAATCTTGCTGGTTTTCACTAATCAATATTTCATGTAATAGTAACATATTGGGCCAATTTGAAGTGTAATGTCCTGATTAAACTTGTAGAAATCTTACTAATGGTCTGAGACCATTCTATTGTAATAGCTTGTGGGTAATAGTTCCCATGGTCCTAGTATAAAAAGATTGTTTATCACAGAATATTAAAAGCAGGAAGTCTACGGCCGGGCGCGGTGGCTCATGCCTGTAATCCCAGCACTTTGGGAGGCCGAGGCGGGTGGATCACGAGGTCAAGAGATCGAGACCATCCTGGTCAACATGGTGAAACCCCGTCTCTACTAAAACTATAAAAAATTAGCTGGGCATGGTGGCGCGTGCCTGTAATCCCAGCTACTCAGGAGGCTGAGGCAGGAGAATTGCCTGAACCCAGGAGGCGGAGGTTGCAGTGAGCCGAGACCACGCCATTGCACTCCAGCCTGGGTAACATGAGTGAAACTCCGTCTCAAAAAAAAAAAAAAATAGCAGGAAGTCTTTACAAATCAGATTCTGAGATCAGCTATTTCTCATAGATTGATAATAGAAACTTAGGCTTTGTGGCACTTTATGTTTTTAAATTATTTTTCAATGTTTCTGAATGCTGACGATATCTTTTGTTGTTGTTGTTGTTGTTATGGTTTAGGTTAAGTCTTCTTAGATATAATGCTAACTTAACAAAAATGAAGAACACTTTAATCTCAGCATCACAACAACTGAAAGCTAAATTGGAGTTTTTTCACAAAAGCATTCAGCTTGACTTGGAGAGATATAGCGAGCAGATGACGTATGGGATATGTAAGTGTCTGGATAATGTATCTGAAAGGAGTATCTCATTTCTTGAAGCCATCTGTTGTTTTGCCTTCTTAACTCAGCCAGTTGTTTTACTTACCTTCACATTAGAACATGAGACCGGACAACTTACATTACCTCTTTTTTAAAATTTGCTTAGTTGAGCAATTTAGTTTCACAATTGGGCTAAAATTATTTAGTTCCAAAAAAATACAGAAGGGATTTAATAATCTTGAATTTCAAACCAAATTTAAAAATAAATACAAAATCTGGACTTCCTAGCCAGTGCTATGGACTAAATGTTTGTGTCCCCCCAAAATACCTATGTTGAAATTCTGACCCTGAAGGTGAGGGTGTTGGTAGGTGTAGCCTTTGGGAAGTGATTAGGTCCTGAGAGCAGAGCCTTCATGTTTGGGATTAATGCTCTTATAAAAGAGGCCTGAATGAGATCCTGCACCCCTTCTGCATGTGAGGACAGAGCAAGAAGATGGTCATGTAGGAACCAGAAAGCAGGCTCTCACCAGATACCAGATCTACCTTTGTTCTTGGACTTGCCTCCAGAACTATGAGAAATAAATTTCTGTTGTTTGTATGGCACTAAGTCTATGGTATTTTGTTAACAGTTGCCCAAATGGACTAAGACAACCAGGGGAGTCTTAAACTACTTACCTTTCTGTAAATAATGACACAAATATTCTAAGACTTTTTTTTTCAAACCATCTACTGTGGAGTCCTACTATTTTTTAGTGTACACAGGCTCCAAATTTTCAATATTTGACTCCAAGCTTATTTCCTTCCGATGTACTAAGGAAATGTTAAAAAAAAAAAAAAAAAAAAAAAAAAGTTAAAATATGAGTAAATTGAAGGAGTCACTACCAGCATTTCTGTTTTCTTTTATAAAGCAAATCCTTTTTGGGAAACATACCTTGTCTTGAGCAAGGTATGTGTATCTCAAAATAAATAGTCAATAGTGTCCAGTTGGGTGAATAAATTTACTCTCCAGAACTGGTTTTATTAATATTATTGATATATTATTTCTATTTGCATATTATTGATTCTGGTGAGTAACAGAACATTATAATTATTTCATTAAAATATCTTTGACTTGTCAAAGGCATATTATACAATTGTTAAAGAAGAATGTGGTATATCTATATGTGCTTTTATTGAAAGTTCACGTGGGTCTTGGTAGCAAAGTTTTAAATTGTGGGAAAAAGTAAAGAGTATACAGGTGTTCTCACTTGTAAGGGAGTAGGGTAGGTATTTATGTAACAAATAATCATAGTAAGGTCCCTTGAGGTAGAGGGTAGAGGGGAGGAAGAGTCTTTTCTGTTTATATCCTTTTATAGTGTTTAATTTTAAAAAATCACATTCATGTATTAAAATTATTTTCTGCCCAGATGTGGTGACTCACACCTGTAATCCCAACACTTTGGGAGGCTGAAGCAGGTGGATCCCTTGAGCTCAGTCAGGACAAACCTGGGCAACATGGTAGAACCCTGTCTCTACAAAAAATACAAAAATTAGCTGGGCATGGTGGTGCACACCTCAGGTACTCAGGAGGCTGAGGTGGGAGGATCGCTTGAGCCCTGGAGATAGAGGCTGCGGTGAGCTGAGATCGCGCCACTGCACTCTAGCATGGGTAACAGAGTGAGACACTGCCTCAGGAAAAAAAAAAAAATTGTTTTTTCCTCCATCTACATCTGCACACAGATATATATATTTTTAAAGAGAACAATCATTTGTATTCATTTCCTAAGGCCTCCATAACAAAATCCCATAAACTGAGTGGCTTAAACAATAGAAGCTTACTGATGTCTCACAGCCTTGGAGGCTAAAAGTCCAAAATCAAGGTCTTGGCAGGGCCACGTTTCCACTGAAATCTGTAGAGAAGCATCTTTTTTTTGCTTCTTTCTAGCTTCTTAATGGTCTGCCAGCCATCACTGGCATTCCTTGGGTTACAGTTGCAGCACCTCAGTTTGTCTCCATTGTCACGTAGCATTCTCCCCTGTGTATCTGTATCCTGTGTCTCTTCTAAAGACACTAGTCGTACTGGGTTAAGGGCCCAGCCCATTCCAGTATGAATATCAGTTTATCTGATTACTTCTTTAACAACCGTATTTCCAAATAAGGTCACATTCTGAGGTATTGGGGGTTAGGACTTCTACATATATTTTGGGGGGCCACAATTCAACTCATAACACATCTTTGATGTTGATATGGCAAGGAGGCAGGCATGCCAGTAATTAAAGATATGGCTATTTCTGAGATAACCAATTTAGACTTTTCTTTTAGCTTCAGAAAAAATGCTAAAAGCATGGAAAGAAATGGAAGAAAAGGCCATCCACTATGCTGAGGTAAAATCATTGACCTCACTTTGTATACTTATTAATTCTTGATGTCTCCATTAGAAACTGTCTTTGGTTTTGGTATATAAAGAGCATGTTTCACGTCATTCCTGAAATAGACACAATACTACTAGATGCTTTGTATATAAAGAGGGAGATATCATAGTGATAAAAACAAAGGCTTTGGGAAAATTAGTGTCTCACTGAGCTTTGGTTTCTTTTCTTTATTTATTTTTTGAGACAGGGTCTCACTCTGTTGCCCAGGTTGGAGTGCACTGGCATGATCAAAGCTCACTGCAGCCTTCCCAGGCTCAAGCAATCCTTCCATCTTAGCCTCCTGTGTAGCTGGGACAAGAGGTGCACCACCATGTCTGGCTTTTATATTTTTGTAGAGATGGTGTCTCACTATGTTGCCCAGGCTGGTCTCAAACTCCTGGGCTTAAGCAATCCTCCCACCTCAGCCTCCCATAGAGCTGAGATTATAGGCCTGAGCTACCACGTCCAGCTAGTTTCCATATTATGGGGACAATTTTTTTTCTAGTAGGGTTATGAAGATTAAATGGGAGTCAGTAATGGTAGTTGTCACTATTATTTTTGTGACTGGTTTAGATAGGGTAGCTGTACATTCTGGTTTACCTGGAACAGTCCCAGTTTATACCTAATGTCTTGCCATAATTATCAGTAGTATTCCCTTTCACTCTCAAAATTATGCCGATTTGGACAATAAATTATGTGGTGTCCCTAGGTATAGATCATTCTCTAGGCAGCATATTTTTTCCCCTTACCCTGTACATTTGTCCATGGCCCATTAAGTACTTGACCCCTTAATGTCAGTACTTACCTTGAGGATGTGGGATACCCTGGGATACCTGTGGTATTGAGGGGTGGGAAATCGAAGCAGCAAGTCATTCTGTATCCTTAAGATGTGAATTTTGTTTCCTGTGATGTAGTGGTAAGCCTTTCATTTCCTTTGTGTTTGGATCATATTTCAGGTTGGTGTCATTGGATACCTGGAGGATCAGATTATGTCTTTGCATGCTGAAATCATGGAGCTACAGAAGAGCCCCTATGGAAGACGTCAGGGAGACTTGATGGAATCTCTGTAAGGATGCACTCATGTTGTTGGTCTTCTGACATCCGTAATATTCTACAGCAGATTGTTCTTTCTGCTTACATCTGGGAAATTAAACCTCTATATGGTTCTTTTCTGTAGTTTTTCTTTCCCCAAATATATTGGCATTATATTTTAAATGGAAGCTTTTTATTAGTCACAGGAAACGAAACTTTGGAAATAACTCTTTGGGTTGGCCTTTTTTGGTTTTTAATAAAAGCATTTATTTCATATAAGGGTTAAGAATTTTCCAAGTATAACTAAGTTACAAGCTATTTCCCTACTTACTGTACCTCTGGTCCAAGGTATTGACTCTCAAATGCCCTAAAACTTCAGATTTTTTCTGAATTAAAGTGTCTGGATTAAAAACTTTAGATATTTTCTGTAATTATAGGCCATAATTTTTGTCTGTTTAAGTCTCTGCAGAGATGTCCTCATGGCATTTAAAGAACTTGTATAGTTCTTATTACTCAATAAAATGTTCTGTGAAATACTCATTGGCAATATGAACTTGCTTTAAAATGGGTTCATTATTCAAATAAAATAATATTGTTTCAAGTTATAGATTACTGAAGTCATTAAATTACCTTCAGATATCAAAGAATGTTTTCTCTTTTATAGGGAACAGCGTGCCATTGATCTATATAAGCAGTTAAAACACAGACCTTCAGGTAAGACACTTCTGTCACAGTGCTTGAAGGCATTTTAGGTAACTAACATTAGCCTACCAAATGTGGGGGATTTTAAATTTCTAAGTTAAAAATTTTCTTAAAGCTGCAGAATAAATTCCAGTTTAGGTATTGCCATTGAGACATGGTATAATAAGCTTTAAGTCTGTGAGAATTTAGGAGATTAGAAAGATAAGGTTACAGAGAAAGTGAGGTAGAAAAATTTTCGAAGGGGAAGTGAAAAGAAAGAATGGAATATAGAAAAAAGGAATTCGAAGAGGAAGAAGCAGCAAGAAAATGTTTAGAAAGATGGGAAAAACAAGTGTTGCTTAAGATTAGACAGATTGGGCCAGTTGTGGTGGCTCACGCCTGTAATCCCAGCACTTTGGGAGGCCCAGGTGGGTGGATCACTTGAGGTCAGGAATTTGAGACCAGCTTGGCCAACATAGCGAAACACCATCTCTACTAAAAATACAAAAATAAGCAGATGGTTGGATTAATCCAAGGTTAGGATTTTGCTGCTGGAAGAAGAGGATATAAAGGTTGAAGATGTAAACAAAATAGTGATTTAAGTGATAGAAGTTGTTGTAGCTAAAGTAAAATATTAAAATCTAAGATTTCAAATAGAACAAGTCCAATTCTTTTTCTTTAATCAGTATTTCTCAGCCAGCCATGGTGCCTCACGCCTGTAATCCCAGCATTTTGGGAGGCTGAGGCGGGTGGATCACTTGAGGGCAGGAGTTTTGAGACCAGACTTGCCAATAGGGCGAAACTCTGTCTCTGCAAAAAATATAAAAATTAGCCAGGCGTGGTGGCGCAGGCCTGTAATCCCAGCTACTCTAGAGGCTGAGGCAGGAGAATTGCTTGAACCAGGAAGGCAGAGGTTGCAGTCAGCTGAGATTGTGCCACTGCAGTCCAGCCTGGGTAACAGAGTTAGACTCCATCTCAAAAAAAAAAAAAAAATTAGACTCCCAGTCTTCTGGTGAATGAATCAGATACTGCAGATACACAATGATAGCATTTGTTTAGGTTATATTTTTAAAAACTTTGAGGTATGAAGCTCAAAAATAAATTTGCTATCTAGGTAGCTTTGAGTATCACCTTGAGTGACAAACTGGTTGTAACAAGATTGTGTCTCTGTCATTGGGGCCTATTATATAATCACACTTGAATTGTGGCCTTGTTGTCTTTTCTAGCTTAGAGCTGACTTATATCTCTTGTTCAACTGAAAATGGTAAAAACCAACTTTTTTCATCCTCTGTGTTGGTGAAGGCTAAAGTTCTGAGGGCTTTGACTCTCTAAAAGAGCTAGTTATATGAGAAAGCTCTTGGGCTTGGTCCATGGTGTTTAGGAAGAAATTCTGTTTTGAGAAGAACCTTTTTGGAGCCTTGCATTTGATTGTTGGTGAGACAACAGAGATGTGTGGGGAATAAAGTTGGGTTATGGGGGAGGTCTCTGGAGTGATAACAAAGGACACAACTTTTTAAAACCTCCTTTGATGTTCCTTTCATCATTTCCTTTTTGGTAAAATGGGGGTAATGAAAGTAGCCTCACAGGACTGCTGTGAGGATTAAACGGGAAAATTATGATCAACTTTCAGCTCCCTTAGCCATTTTCTGAAATATAACGATTAATGATATTATAAACTGTAGAACTCACTGTGACCAACAGTTATCCCATTTGACGGTATCTGTCCGCTGCCAGTGGCTTTAAGATGTCATACTGCCCTCAAATGGAACTTTCAGGATGTCTACAGGTGCCTTTACTGGTGTATCAGATTTGGTTTCAGTGAGTTTTTTTCAAAGTTTTTATGGGCTGTAAACAGATGGATAAACATGAAATTCCAAGCAACCTAGTTCAAGGGCCTCCTTTCTTTAGGCAATGAAAGTTTGATGAATTGTCCTACTGTTTGTAAATATGTGGTCAGTCATCCAGGAAAAATAGTTCTCTTGGCCAGAGGCTGCATTTGTGTCTAGGGCTTGGGTTAGTATGCGTTAAAGACAGCCAAGACTATTCTTCTCAAGCACAGGCAACTAAGGTCTCTTACTGATAAATTTGTATATACATTATACACATACAAACGTTATTTTTTATATATGACTAGAATTTATTTACAGGTAATCTTTAAATATTTTATCTTAACCCAATTTTTAATTTAAATGGAGATGTTTATTAAAATTAGTTTCACACTTTCATGGATTTTTGAGGAATTTTTTGTTTGGAGGCGGATGTTACAGAAGAAAGGTTATGTCCACTGACTGATGTCTTTTATAGATCACTCCTATAGTGACAGCACAGAGATGGTGAAAATCATTGTGCACACTGTGCAGAGTCAGGACCGTGTGCTCAAGGAGCTGTTTGGTCATTTGAGGTAGGAAAATTGCTTCATTTCCTACTGAAAAACCAGGATATGTTTACCTTGTTCCTCTCAAAGTACAAAAGCCCTATTTGGTAAAGTATACTTACCCAGGAAGAATTCTGAGAGTACCTTGGGTAGCTTGGCCATAGCTATGTGCATTTATATGGCCTTTTGTATGCAGTACTTTGGAGATCAGTTGTTAAATCTGATGCTGATTGTGGTTCATTTCCTCAGCTGGGTTTTGGGAATATGGTATACAACCATGGGAGATGTGTAAGTATCTGACACGGATTTAATCTCTTCAGCAAGTTGTTGGGCTGTAAGCAGAAGATTATTGATCTACTCCCTAAGGTGGAAGTGGCCCTCAGTAACATCAAAGAAGCTGACAATACTGTCATGTTCATGCAGGGAAAAAGGCAGAAAGAAATATGGCATCTCCTTAAAATTGCCTGTGTAAGTATTTATTAATGAATTATTTAATGTGACATTCAGTTGCTATTGCAACTGCAACGGGGATTTTTTATCAGCATGAGGTGGGCCCTCTTGAAGACATGTGTATTTTGTGTTGGGATGAAGTCCATGTTCCTTGCTTGGTGTCCAAACTAGCAATTGAGATGCAGGACTTATTATCATCTCTCCTTTCCAGTTTCTTTGTTGTTATACTCTTAGCCCTTGACCACTGTGGTATTCCAACTCAACTTGCAGATAGATGTACCTGACTAGATAATGAAACTGACCATCTATGCAACTGGGTTTTTTTCTTTTCTTCAACTAAAATGGTATAAGAAAAGTGGATACATTTGGTTTTAGTCAATGAAGAAAGGGGCCAACGAGAGGTTACCAATGGTCTGTAAAAGTGGGAATAGTTTTGTACTGAAATACCCTGGTTGTGCTTTATGTAGTAATGGAAATGAAAGCCTTAGGAATATGGTAAGAAATTGTGTGAACCAACAGAGATGCCCGCCTGTAATCTTTTGATGTTTTTTTTTCTTTTCCTTCAGACACAGAGTTCTGCCCGGTCCCTTGTGGGATCCAGTCTAGAAGGTGCAGTAACCCCTCAGACATCAGCATGGCTGCCCCCAACTTCAACAGAACATAATCATTCTTTGTCATGTGTGGTAACTCCTCAAGATGGGTGGGTTCACTTTGTAACAATAGATAGCTGTGTTTTCATAGCAGTGTATAGGAATGAGGCAATAGTTATTAAAGTAGTCTTTGTGTGTTCAGACCAGGGTTGAGTCTTGACTATCCATTTCTGATAATCTTAGGCAACTTATGTGACTTTTTTGATGTCCATGTTTCCTCACCTGTAAAACAGGAATGTCTCATAGAACTGCTGTAGAAATTCGATTAGACAATGTATATAAAGTGCTTGTGAATTAAATATTCTGCAAATGTTGCTTATTATTAGCTCAATCCAAGTTCTAAGTCCTTTCTCTTACTGGCTTATTACTTTCTTTTACTCAAACCTTACTCTTTCATTAACATTTATCTCTATGAGAAAGTATGCTATCATTTTGCATGTATCATTTTGCAAATATCATTTATCATATTACTCTTCTAATAAATTTTTGAGTTCTATTTTATAACTTTGTATTTCTAACATAAGACTTTCTTTCAGTGCTTTAAGTCAGTTTTACAAGTAAGAACTCAAATTCCAAGCCCTATATTTTATTAATTCCTACTCTTTTGCTAAAAGCTGAATGACTATCCATTTCTGTTATTTTCTCAGCATAAGATGGGCCGTATCCAAAGCCAGTGACTCTTTGCTAGCTTGTGTATTGTCGCTTTTCTCACAACTCATGGAGGCCTCTACAGCACCAGCATTTCCTTGAAGCTCTGCCCATAATTAGTTTTGCAGAAGTGCAGCCATGTTACATCACTGCTCAGGAGTTGCACATTCTGTACTCTGCTTTTATGAGAGAAAAGCACATGGCAGGAAGGCAAGCTGATATCAGGTATTTTATTTTTTTAAAGAAAGCAAGTTCCAGAGTATATCTTGGGGTCATTATACATGTGGCCCAATGCAGTAGTACATCTACAACTGTAGCATAGGCTATTGAATACATAGACTTTATAAAATATTCCAGTAATCAGAGTTGAAGGAAGTAAAATTTAATATTTTACTTACTTTTTTGCCTTTATTAAAGACATTTAGGTTTTTTAGTGGATGCTAATATTTGCAGACGTCACCATAATACAGGTAATTTCCAATTTGAGGTGTTTTCTGACAGTCTGTCAGAAAAGTATATCTGACAGATATTTTCAATGTATTTTTCTAGAAGGGATACGTTATATTTTATTTTAATTTTTTGAGATGGAGTTTTGATCTGTCACCCAGGCTAGAGTGCAGTGGCGCAGTTTTGGCTCATTGCAACCTCCGCCTCCCACATTCAAGCAATTCTCCTGACTCAGCTTCCTGAGTAGCTGGGATTACAGGTGTGTGCCACCATACCCAGCTAATTTTTGTATTTTGATAAAGACGGGGTTTCACTGTGTTGGTCTGGCTGGTCTTGAAATCCTGACCTCAAGTAATCCACCCACTTCAGCCTCCCAAAGTGTTGGGATTATAGGCGTGAGCCACCATATCCGGCTGGAATACACTGAAAAGGAAAATTGATTTCAATCATAACGTGCCTATGGTACCTAACTACCAATGATTGGGAACTGTTTGACCACAATTTTTCCATCTGTTGGATGAGAGCTGAATCAGAATTTCATTCTAAACTAATAGTGGCTATCATCCATGGCCTAAAACGGACTCTTAGGGTATTGAGGGTTGGCAAGGGGAGAAGATAGAGGCATTACGGAAGAAGAAAGCACGAAGGTAGAAACCAGAATCAGGATTGTCTTCAAATATGAACTTCTGGGGACACCCATTTGGTTCTGGGTAGCTCCCCCACTACACTATTTTCTTTTGCTGTCCTCAGGAATTAGCTTGCTTGTTTTGTTTCATTGCTATTATCTGTAGTTTCCAATGAGTTTTTCACTTTCTGTGATCTCTACAGAACAGATTGTACTTTTTCCCCCTACATTTGTGTCTGTGAAGTAAGCATGCTGGTGTTTTTACTACTTTTAAGGAAACAGAAATACTTAGAAACAAAAAGAGGTATTTCATCTGTCTTTGCCACAAGGATTGTTTTCCTCCTTAGTTAACATTTTCAGGGGAAAAATAAGTGGTACATAAGTGCCTCTTATGTTTCAGAGGAAAGTCAGATTGGATTTCTTATCATTAGAGTTAGGTGGAGGCAGAGGCAGCAGCTTGGTGTAAACAGGATTCTGCCTCTGTAGGGAGGGATGAGGAAACTAAAGACTACAGGAGTCAACTGCATTGGAGTCCTGGGTGCAGGAAGGGTAGTGATCATGCTGACCAAGAAGACTAGAAAGTAGAGGAAATTCATATGCTGTTGCTGAATTTGAAAAGGCTTTGTTCTTTCATCTCACAGGGAGACTTCAGCACAAATGATAGAAGAAAATTTGAACTGCCTTGACCTTTTAAGCACTATTATTCATGAGGCAAATGAGGAAGAACAGGGCAGTAGTATGATGGTAAGTTTTGTGTGGATATGGGTGCCTGTTTTAGCTATGTTGGGTGCAAAAGGTTTAACTTTCCTTGCTAGCTGTATCTGGCATTTGGGATGCATGTGGGAAATAGAAGAATTCAGAGGAAAGAGCATTTGAACAATATCCTCAACCTTAAATCTCTATCTGCTGTTACTCAGGGATATACTAGGATTATGTCCTCAGTTATCTTCCATAATAACATTTTTGGTCAAATTAAATGAATGGTAAGCTTTCTTCACAATGTAACCACTGAAATTGAATGGTTTGTACTGTACTTTTTTGCTTCAGCAATCAATTTTCTCCATTAAGATGGGACTTGTACTTTAATTCAGATACGGTACCTCCCAAATGGAAAATAAATTATGTTAATATAGTTGTAATAATAAAAGTGTGTATTAAGATTTGGTTACTGTGAACCACTGATTTGTTAAAACTTGGAGAAATTACAATAAAATGTTTACTGAATCAATTTTTGCTGCATTTAGTCTTAATGTCAGTTCTGTATATTTCCTCTTTCATTAAGAAAAATAGCAATGGCCAGGCATGGTGGCTCATGCCTGTAATCCTAGCACTTTGGGAGGCCAACGCACGTGGATTGCTTGAGCCCAGGAGTTTGAGACCAGCCTGGCCAACGTGGTAAAACCCTGTCTTTACAAAAAATAAAAAATTGGTCAGGTGTGGTGGCACACACCTGTAGTCCCAGCTACTTGGGAGGCTGAGGCAGAGGATCGCTTGAGTCCAAGAGTTTCAGGCTGCACTCCAGGCTTGGTGACAGAGTAAGACCCTGTCTCAAAAAAAAGAATAATGACGGCCAGGCATGGTGACATGCACCTGTAGTCCTAGTTACTAGGGAGGCTGGGACAGAAGGATTGCATGAGCCCAGGAATTCAAGGCTGTAGTGCATTATAATTGGACTTGTGAATAGCTACTGCACTCCAGCTTGGCAATATAGCAAGACCCTGCTCTCTTAAAAAAAAAAAAAAAAAAGAAAAGAAAAGAAAAAAATAATTGTTTGCTTCAAATGTTTATGAAAAAAACTGAAATGTTTTCTTTAAATTAGGAAATAAGGTATAAATGAAATGATTTTTCAATTTTTGATTATAAAATGTCCAAACATACATAAAACTTGCAAAAATGAACACCTATATACTTATCACTTATAGTCAACATCTAAGTGTAACTTTTTCCTGCCTGGTTTTAGAGTCTTGATTGGAGTTGGTTAACAGCATGACTTGTCACTTCTTCACTGTCCCCAAACCTATGGAAGTTGTCATTATACATGTTGGAAATGTGTTTTTCCTGCATGAAACCATTCTTCAGACATCAGTCAAAGGAAGAAATGGCTTTGGACAGAAGCTACATTTCTACTATGATCAGAAGAACATGATTTTACAACTAGAACATTTTTGAGTAATTCAAGCCTCTAAACAGATAGGAATTTATTTTTTAAAAATCAGTAGACTTGTTTTAATACCACAGCTATTCAGGAACATCATCATGACACATTTGTCTTTAATCTTGGTAAAACATGACTTATTTAACTGTAAAAATACCTTCTATGTATTAGTTTTAACTTTTAACTTTTGGGCGTAAGGCCAAATGTAATTTTGTATACAGAGAAGAAAACTTCAACTAATAGGCATTTTAAATAAAAGTTGTCTACCTGTGTTTTTTCTAAAAAGGCTGCTCACAAGTAAAGTTACATTTCTTGAAGAATAAATTCTACCTCCTTGTGTTGCATTCAACAGGTGCTCTTCCTGGCATCATAAGGAGTTGGTGTAATCATTTTAAATTCTACAGAAAATTTAACAGTATCCCCTTCTCACCAAAGCGAGTGTGTATCTGCTCCTAATGTTAGTTGGCTTTCATAAATCATGTTGTTATGTGTATATGTATTTAAGATGTACATTTAATATCAAAGAGAAGATGCCTGTTAATTTATAATGTATTTGAAAGCTACATGTTTTTTCTCATTTGTAAAAATTAATTATTTGTTTAAACAATCTTTTATGTCTTGTTATACAAATTTATAAAGGTCTGCACTCCTGTATCTGTAATTGTAATTCCAAAATCCAAAAAGCTCTGAAAACAAGGTTTCCATAAGCTTGGTGACAAAACTCATTTTCTTGCAATCTACTCTGAACTGACCTTGAATCTTTTTATCCCATTTAGTTAACAGAGTGACTTGTCAATTGTTCATTGTCCCCAAACCTGTGGAAGTTGTTGCTATACATGTTGGAAATGTGTTTTTTTGCTGCTTGATGATTTGTGGGGGAGTGTGCTGCCAGTCTCTGATGAGGGCTGGTTAATGTAGTATGGTATACGCACAAAATTACCTTTCTAAAATCTAAAACTTCATAATTCTGAAACATCTTGCCCCAAGGGTTTCCGATAAAGGACTGTGGACCTCTATCATCTGTTAAGTAATTTAGAAGATATTGTTTGTCTCAAAAAATGTGAAATGCTTTTATATTCTAACAGTTTTTCACCACTTTGTGTATTAAATGGTTTTTAAATTACTTTTTGGATCTCTATTCCTTATAAAAATCAAATTATAATAAAACAGTTAAATAATTAGAGCACAGAATAACTGTACCTTCCTTAGGAATAACAAGACTTACAGTAAAGGCAGTACTGGGCAACTTCTTTAATAGTGTTTTCCTCTGAGATGTCCTGTCACCACTATCTACATCTAAAAAACATGCTCGTATCTTGCCCAATAAACTGATGTCAGAGTCCCACCATCCCCATTTTTGCTAGTGGTATCATTTTCCTAGTCAACCAAATTTTTGTCGTCAGATACCACTGTTCGTCAGCTGTTGTAATAGGCAGTCTCTCTCGTTTCCCTAGTTTTAGAAGATGCTAATAAACGCTTCTTGGATAACTGTTACTTGGAGGATATTAAGCTAGATGGCAAGATCAGAAACAACATAGGCGGTACAGTAAAAGTGCTCATCTGGGAGTCTAAACATTGCAAGCCATCTAAGCATTGCAATTATTAAGGATTTTTTTCAATGATCATGCATTTTCATTTTTTTTCTTTTTTTTCCACATAATAAATCATGCCTTTGTAATGAAGTGGTCATGCATTTTCTAAATATTTTAATATTGGTAAAGGATTTGCTATAGGATGGGGGCTGCTGATAGTGTGGGGCTGGGGTTATGTCAGGGCAGCCTGATCTATATAATTTGGGCAGATGGTGTGAGTCAGAACAGACTATCATAGTGGGATCACTAAACTTGCTTTTGATGCATGAGTTGGACCACTAATTTTTTGTTGGGTAACAACTTTTCAGAGGGGAATGGCAGTTGTGAATTGTATACATTTCATTCTTTAAGCAAGATTATGTAAAACTAAGAGAATGTCTACAGAAAACAGGGTATAAAGCAAGTTATTTTCCATTCTTTTTGCTTTTTGGAAGTTAAAATAGTTAAGCTCTGCAAATACCATTCATCTGGAACAAATAAGGTCCCAGACATTCCTAGGTAATAAAAATCGAATGAGACAGGTAAGTGTACTTATTGAAGGGTGTGGGTGGAGTGGTCTGGGAAGGCTTGCTTTAATGAAGACGAACTGATTTCTCTTTACGTCTTCTCATTTCCATTATTAAGTAACCTTAGGCCTGCAGTTTCCTAACCACCTGGCTCCCTTGCCAATAGTCTGTCTCCACTTTCAGCCGTTTTGTAGATTCATTGGCCCTAAAGCACTGCTTTCCCATATTTCCCTACGCAAGAGTGCAGGGGTCCCCAAGCCCTGGGCCGCGGGACCAGTACCATACAGTGACCTGCTAGGAACCTAGCCAGACAGCAAGAGGTGAGCAGCGGTCGAGCGAATATTATCGCTTGAGCTCTGCCTGCTGTCAGATTAGCCCATGGCATCAGATTCTCATAAAAGCGCGAACCCTATTGTGAACTGCGCATGCGAGGGTTGCGGTCTCCCTGTGAGAATCTTAACTAATGCCTGATGCTCCGAAGTGGAACAGTTTCATCCCGAAACGCTTTCCACCCAACCCCCCCGCCCCCGCCACAAACCCACCCGTCCGTTAGGTTAGAGGACTTTCCAACCCTAGTCTACCTTGTCCAGTTATGGTTCCACCTCCAGCCTTTCAAGGCTTACACCATTAATGCCCTTAATTTCTCTTGTATTCATCTATCTCCCACCTATACCTTTTTCCTTGCCTTTTTTATTTTTGGCAATACGTGCACATGGTTTAGAATGCAAAATGAACGAAGAATATGTAGTGACGGCTACCATAGCACTCCTTTCCATCACACAAGGCTTCAAGGAAACTGAAGTACTTACTTTAGTCTCCCTGGAGGACGGTCCTCCGCTTCCCACCCCATGTGCTTAGCAATTCTGTTACTATTGTCTGGATGGCCTTCATAAAGCCCTCACTGGACCAGAATTCTAGCACATAATAGAAACACAAGCGAGAGAATGATGCAGTTATAGTTAACATCTTTCTCTTCCTAACTTTCACAGCACTTTACTTGCAACAAGTTTGGTTGCTTCTGAAGTGCAGGATCTGTGCTGGAAGCACGTGCATGCCACACAGTGGGGCTCCGCATATACCGCAAAAGGATAAATAAACCGAACAGCTACCGCTTGAGAGTGAGCGAGTGGGTTCTCTGCATAAGAACAAACAGACCAGTCCCTTGTCCGAAAGGCCCTTTTCTCTGCTTCGCTGCTTACTCCAGACCCCCGGCTGTCCTCTTCCGAGCAGTTAACTAGCAGTGTACAGAAAAGAAGCGACTTGCTTTCAAGGGAGCCTGCGCGGCAGTGCGGCTGGGAGAATTTTGTCCCGTGCGCTCCCCGTCTCACTAGTCGCGGATCGGGGCTACGCCTTGTGCGTCCCCGCGCAGCCGCAGTGCTGGGCGAGTGGGCGGGGCCGGCTGTTGAAGGCGGTTGGCTCGGCCCGGGAGTCTGCTGCACGTGCGGGCGGGGGCAATGCGTCACTGATCGGTAAGGCGCGGCGCGGCCGAGGGATCGGTTTTCCTCCCAAGCCTGCGGCTGGGCACCTTCTCAGTTAGTGCCTTCCGCCGGGGAGCGACCCTTGGGAGAGGGGGTGACAGGAAGCTCACCGAGCAGGGGCGGCCCTCTGGCCGCCTGGGGCGGAGAAGTTGGCAAGGGGTCAGCGGGCTCCGCCAGGAGGAAAGAATGAGGGGTCTGGGGCACTGGACTCCCCGGCTCAGGCTGCTAGAGAGCGCCAAGTTTCCGGAGGGAGAGGGTGGAAACTGGAGCGGGTGGACCTGTCACTCACGGGACTGAGGGTCCTTTTCTCCCTCTCCCAGGAGGAACGAGGATGAATATGACTCAAGCCCGGGTTCTGGTGGCTGCAGTGGTGGGGTTGGTAGTTGTCCTGCTCTACGCCTCCATCCACAAGATTGAGGAGGGCCACCTGGCTGTGTACTACAGGTGAGCTGCATGTGCAGTCAGTTCGGGCACTAGAGCAGATAAAAAGGGTACTCCCGTTAGAGTGGAGTCTGGGAAGTTGTTACCTCTGCAGCGTTCGGGGACGCACGTCCCATCTCTAGGGAAAGCACGGGGGTCGAAGAGGGCTTTTGCGGAGCACCCTCCAGGTGCTGACGGTTTTAGTGCTATGTTCGTTTTGCAGAGATTAAGTCTCCCTACAGTGAATCTATACACAGCAAATTCAATTTTATTTGTAGAAAAATGAAGAAGGAAGAAAGGAAGTAGTCATTGTACCTCTGACTGAAGACATGGATAAATTATAGTTCGTCCAACTGTACAGGCTTTAGTTTGCAGCTATAGATGGTGTACAGAAAATTTGGTTCTGTTTGTGGTTGTTCCTTAGACTTTTTCATTTAAAAGCTTCCAGTGTCTGGTTACGTCTTACAACACCGTGATGACCGTGATGGTGGTTATATCCCTGCACCTCCGGGGACATATAAGCACAACACCGATGGGCCGTCCTCCTCCCTCCTTACTGTTTCTGTTCAGGTTGGGGACGGGAGTGGTGGGGAAGCTGTTGCTTTCTTGTTGAGCCTGATTAGCTTTTCCTTCAGCCTAATTACCACAAGTTCCTTTTGATATAGACTAGTGAGAGAGAGGCCAGTTTGTGGAGAAATTGGAATCATGGTGTATTGAAAAAGAGCGTCAACTTTTTGCTTTTTTCTTTTATCCGTCAAAACTGATATTTCTTTCAGATCTATCCAGAATCCCAGAAAAAGAACAATTTTACTGGTATATCTTAGCAGACGAACCTCTAGCATAAGAAATTACAGATCAGCCCAGATTTCCTTCCAGTTTAGCATTGTCTTTCTGATAGTAAAACCAGAGAAAAGATATTTCAACGAATGGCTCAAAGAATTAGTGATGAACCTAAAACAGTTCATCTTTTTCTTGTTATTATGACTTTGCCAACGTGTTTATATTTTCAAGACAGGAAGCTAAGTTCTGTGAATTTACAAGGTGCAAAATAGGACTTCTTTGGGTTTTTTGCTCTCCAAATGCCTCCTTTTTATAATTTCCTTGTAGGGCTGGCTTTTCTAGTTCTCACATTCCAGGATTTGGTGAACAAGCCCTTAGCCTATCTATTTCTATAGTCTTGCCACCCTTCATCTTTTCATGCAATTTTTTTTGTTTGTTTTTTATATAGAAACTTTATGTTCCCAATATTTTAATTACCTTGCCGATAGATTGAAAGAATTATAAGCCTCAGAAATTTTCTCTCTACTTGAAAGTTTGTGTTGCCTTTTTCTCAACCTGGCGATTAAGTGTGTTATATATTTTGATTTTGTTTTTGTGTACAGTTAATGTAGGTACATTTACCTCTGCTAAAAGCCATTGTAATTTTTTAAACAAGTATTTCTCAGAAGGTTAAAGACCAAGGAGAATCCTTTGAACCTGAGAGCAGTGCTGGAGACCCAGAGGTAGGTTAGTTAAACTTATGAAACAAGGTGTAACATTGACAATTCAATTTGATCTTTTTGCCTTTTTAGGTGTGGAGGTATTTTAAGCAGTTGTTCATTATGAGTAATTCATATTAGTGAGGCTTTAGTAGGTCAGTAGCATGAGAAAAAGTGAGTATTTATTCTAGCACTTTAGATTTGGAAAGATAATTTCTCTTTTTATAATTCTGTCAAATTGAAACATCTGTTTGCAGGGGAGGAGCGTTACTAACTAGCCCCAGTGGACCAGGCTATCATATCATGCTGCCTTTCATTACTACGTTCAGATCTGTGCAGGTGAGTGATTCCTAGGGAAGCCCCCATACCAGATAGACAGGTATGACAGGAGTTACCACACTTGTGGGTAGAGATAGATTTCTCTATTGCTTAAGCAGGTGGTGGTATTTACTTAAATGCAGGAGTTAACGTTCAGAGTACAGTTGTTACAACACAGGTTATGATGTTTAACCACCTCACTTGTGTGAAATGAGTTAAAAGTATGAACCAGGCAACTTGGAAGACTGACTTCTGCCATCTATATCGTGGTATGTAGCAATTTTTCTGTTGCTGCTATCACAATAAAAGCAAGAATTAGGAACACAAATAG